AATCATACAATTACGTCACAGATATGAATGAAACCTATTCACTCGTTAGGTAGTATATTAAATACATTTCAGCCTTTTCGAAGGCGGCGCAGAATTAAAAATACCTCAGTAAACGTTGCTGCCAATAACCAGTTGATTGTGGTATGGCGTCTTGGAAATTAATAAATCTTAAAAGAGAATACGAACCATTATAGATATAGTTGGTAATATACGTAAATGTAACGACTGCATCTTCAGTTCGCAACGTTTCTGATATAAATGAAATTGAATCGACTTCGTTCGTATGTGGAAGCCATGGATCTAATTGTAAGAACCTATAAACGGAGCCCACGACGCGGGAACTACCAAATTTGCGGCAGATGGGCTCTATTTTTATAGTATATTTGGCGATCGAGTCTTTCCGTCGCATACTCTATGAATCTAGATAGACCATAGTTACATTCTATACGTACTAACACCTACGTCGCGGCATGCTGTCGAGTTATGTGTATAGAAAAAAAAATAGCTATACAAGCTTTGCCTCTGTTCGGCTGTCCAAAGGTTGACATGTTCAAGAAAATCTTTTAATTTTGCGCCGCCTCCGAAAAGGTTGAAATGTATTTAATATACTACCTAACGAGTAAATAGGTTTCATTCATATCTGTGACATAATTGTATGATTGAATAAAATAGAAATTACTTCAATAGCAAATAGAAATTATTTTATACTTTTTAGTGCATTTCGAAATCGGTGTATTTTTTTTCTGAAAATTATTTTATTTCACGCTTTTTAGTGGAATGGGGAGAATTGTATAGGATACTATGAGACAGTTCTGAGACATTTTTCACATAACAATACCAAAGAATAGGATTTTGCAATAACAATAGTTATTATACATGTATACTGATTTTCGGCCGACAAGACGTGTTTGTAGAAACAGTAGAAAATACACCGTCAGAGACACGGAGGCATACGTAGAATTCAATATATTAGTAACAATAGTTTTTCGCTAATAACTCGAAAACTAAAGCTTCCCCTTAATTGTGGATAAGGAAAAAGTTGTTCAGAATCGTGCCCCTGATAACATATTAAAAGGGCATTAAAATCGTCCAAAGTTGATTTCAAAACTTTTCAACAATTTTTCGCTAATATCTTGAAAACTACAGCTTTCCGCGAAATTTGTATATGAACAAAATTGTTCAGAATCATGTCCGTGATAAGATATTAAAAGCGCACTAAAATCGAGAAAAGTTTATTTCAAAAGTTGCCGGTTTTTTTGCAATAACAATACTTTGCAATTAAAAAATGAAAAATGTTTTGATAATGGTACCAATGGGGAGTCAGAACCTACCAGATGCAAAAGGTTTCGTTCCGATCGGTCCATCCAGCTAGGCGTAATCGGCCGGCACACATAGAAAAAAAAATAAAATAAAATAAAATAAAAATATACTGATCGAATTGAGTAACCTCCTCCTTTTTCGAAGTCGGTTAAAAAGTAGAGGAAAATTGTATACAGGGTGTTCGGCTACTGGTGGGCATAATTTTAGGGGGTGGTAGCTGGGGTGTTTCTGACCAACTTTTTCCTTTACCAAAATGCTGGTTAAAGATTAGTTTTTGAATTATTAATGAAAAACACTGACCAATCAGAGCGCGAGAATAGCGCGCGCTCAGATGCGAGAGAGCGACGGGTGCAAGCGTCACGGTTGACCCTGGTCGTGAACAAACAAATCGCGCGATATCGGTAACATAGTTACCATCATCGGTAATCTGTCAGCCGGTAAGTAATTATTAAATTCACAACTATTAATAAGTATAAATTTATTAACGAAACTAATTGTATGGATTAAGCAAAAATAAAGGTAAAGATCAAGCGCAGTTTCTTTAGGTAATTAAAAAAAATGATTATTTGTTTAACGACATAAAATTAAAAAATACTCTGACGCTTACCTCATGAGTGAATTTACAATGCGACAATTCTTCATTAATTTTTAACCGACTTCGAAAAAGGAGGAGGTTACTCAATTCGATCAGTATATATTTTTTTTCTTCTATGTGTGCCCGCCGATTACGCCTAGCTGGATGGACCAATCGGAACGAAACCTTTTGCATCTGGTAGGTTCTGACTCCCCATTGGTACCATTATCAAAACATTTTTCATTTTTTAATTGCAAAGTATTGTTATTGCAAAAAAACCGGCAACTTTTGAAATAAAGTTTTCTCGATTTTAGTGCGCTTTTAATATCTTATCACGGACATGATTCTGAACAATTTTGTTCATATACAAATTTCGCGGAAAGGTTTAGTTTTCGAGATATTAGCGAAAAATTGTTGAAAAGTTTTGAAATCAACTTTGGACGATTTTCATGTCCTTTTAGTATGTTATCAGGGACACGATTCTGAACAACTTTTTCCTTATCCACAATTAAGGGGAAGCTTTAGTTAAAGGGTGACTGTTATATTTGATGTTTTCCGTATAATAATAGTACAATTTTCGGAACCCACACTAAACAAACACACAATCACACAAGCACCACGATTGTCCAGTCCTTAGTATCGAAACGTTAAAAATATCCACCTTTTTTACACATCAATTCGTTTACGAAAGTTCCTCGCCATGTACACATTACACATTATGCGCGATAAGTGATTCAAAGAAAAGAATCAGTTATTGCAAGATGTATTATTGCGATCGCACAACACGTATTACCGATAATATTAAATTTACTTTATTTATTTTGAAGAGTCGAAAAATTTATCTTTACGACACGAATTACTTTTAACGAATATACACAGATGCGTATTTTGACGAAACGTTTTACTATAAAGTTTGAGAATAAACAAACATCAACAAAAGAAAAGCGAAACAGTGACCCCCTCTCAACGGGAAAAAGATTCTACAATATGTACCCTAAGAAGCTCGCACGTCGAGAAATGTAACATGAT